CGATGAGGTCTTGCTGCCCAGGCGGGTCTCGAACCCGCGGGCTCACGCAATCCACTCACCTCAGCTTCCCAAAGGTGCGGGATTACAGGCTGAGCCACTGAGCCCGGTTTAAGAATCTTATATATGTAATTTGTTATCTAAAGTCTTTGACAAAGTAATACAATGATTGGTAGTAGGGCCTTGATTTTTTTTTTTTTTTTTTGAGTTGGAGTCTCTGTCGCCCAAGCTGGAGTGCAGTGGCTGCTCCTGGCCACTGCAGCCTCGACCTGCTGGGCTCCGGCGATCCTTCCGCCTCAGCCTTCCAAGTAGCTGGAACTACAGGCGCGCGCTACAATGCCTGGCTAAGTTTTTGATTTATTGTAGAGATGAGGTCTCGCCAAGTTGTCCAGGCGGGTCTCGAACCCGTGGGCTCAGGCAATCCACTCACCTCGGCCTCCCAAAGCGAGGGATTACAGGCTGAGCCACTGAGCCCGGCTAGGGCCTTGATTGATGATGTCAAAAACATTTTAATGCTGCACTTTTAATAGAAAATGTAATAAATGGTTGTGGTGTAAAATGCAAAAGATACAAAAGAATATAGTAGTAAAAAGTAAATCCATATTTTTCACCCAGCCCCATATCCTAAAGAAAACTTACTAGTTTCTGTGAATCCTTTCTAGAACTGTTCTCTGCATCTGTATAAGCACATTTAGTTCTTACTTTGCATAAGTAAGACAATATAATGTAGGGAGCTCCCTTCTTTTTTTAATGACTGCACATCATTCCATTGTATGGCGAACTATGATTTATTTGGCATTTAACTTGTTTCCATCATTTTGCTATTACAAATACGACTGAAGTATTCATCCTTAACCTTGTACATGCTTTATACACACATATGGGAATACATCTTTAGAATAAATTCCTTAAAGTAGAATTGTTTGTCCCAAAAGTAATTGCATTTAAAATTCTGCTATATATTAGTGGATAGATTTTTTTGAATCCTTAATATACTTCCAATGGAAACTGAAACACAGAATCAAATCAAATATATATTTAACTTATAAATCAAATATATATTTAAACCATGCTGGCATCATAAAATAAGGCTCCTGATAACATTTATTATAATTTAATAAATACTTATTCCAGATATTGATTATAAAATTGTTTTTTTTGTAAATAGGTAACTTCTTATTTATGAAAAATTTATGGTAGGAATCTACAGTAGTTGTCTTAGTCTATTTTCTGCTGCTGTAACAGAATACTTGAGACTGGGTAATTTATAAAGAAAATGGATTTATTAGGCTCATGGTTCTGGAGACTGAGAAGTCCAAGATTAAGGGGCTGAATCTGGTGAGATTCTTCTCACTGTGTCACCTATGGCAGAAGACAAGAGGGTGAGAGGGTGCAAGAGAGAGCTGAACTTGCCTTTTTTAAATTAAAGAGATGGAGTCTCACTATTTTGCCTAGGCTGGATTCGAACTCCTGGGCTCAAAAGATCCTCTTGCCTCAACCTGCCAAGTAGCTAGGACTACAGGTGTGTACCACCACACCTAACCAAACTCGCTTTTATAACTAACCTATTTTTGTAGTAAGGAACCCAGTCCCATCATAACAACATTAATCCACTCATGACAGCAGAATTCATGTTACCTAATCATTTCTTAAAGGCTTCATCTCTCAACACAGCTGCATTGGGGATTAAGTTTCCAACACATGAAGTTTGGGGGACACATTCAAACTATAGCATCAGTTAAACCTGTCAGCTACATTATATATTCTTACTCTCATTGCATCAAAGAATAAAGGATAATTTTAGCAGTGTTGAGAAGGTGTTTTTGTCTTTTAAACTGTGGAAATAAATGTCTTTAACTCTTTGTATGTTTATATAGGGCACAGACCATCATGAAAGCTCGTTTAAAAGGAGCACAAACAGGCCGAAACCTCCTGAAGAAAAAATCTGACGCCTTAACTCTTCGATTCCGACAGATCTTAAAGAAGATAATAGAGGTAGAACTAACTTATTTATTTTAGGAATAACTAAGGTAAATCTAGCAGGGACCTTGGCATTTTAATTTTTCTTCAAGTTTTTTTTTTTTGTTTGTTTGTTTGAGTTGAAGTCTCACTGTGTTGCCCAGGCTGGAGTGCAGTGGCACAGTCACGGCCACTACAGCCTTGACCTGCTGGGCTCAGGCGATCCTTCCACCTCAGCCCTCCAAGTAGCTGGAACTACAGGTGTATGCCACCACACCTGGCTAATTTTTAAATTTATTGTAGAGACAAGGTCTTACCAAGTTGCCCAGGCTGGTCTTGAACCCCTGGACTC